TGGTAGTAGAAACACTGATAGTAGTAGCAAAAGATAAGTAATCGTGGTGATGGTGCTTCTACCTTTAGCGATACAAGAACAGGCAATAGTAGTAGCAGTAATAGTACTGATAGTAGTCGCAGTAGCAGTAATAGTGGCCGTAGTAGTAATACTGCACCTGCAATGGTAGTACTCATAGTAGTAGTAGTAGTAGTAGTTATAATGGTAATGAAAATAATAATAGTAGTAGTACTAGCGGTGGTAGTAGTAGTAGTAGTAGTAGTCGTAGCCGTAGTAAAAGTAGTCGATCGATGGGAGGAGTTATAATCGTAGTAGTAGTAGTAGTAGTAGTAGTAGTAGTAGTAGTAGTAGTAGTAGTAGTTGTAGTAATAGTAGTAGGAGCCGTAGTAGTAGTAGTAGCAGTAGCAGTAGTAGTAGTAGTAGTAGTAGTAGTAGTAGTAGTAGTAATACGGGTAGTAATAGTCGTAGTAGTCTTAGTCGTAGTGGTAGTCGTCGTGGCGGCAGTAGTAGTAGTAGTAGTAGTTGTTGTTGCCGTAGTAGTGGGAGTAGTAGTAGTCGTAGTAGTAAAAGTAGTAGTAGTAGCAGTAGTAGTAGTAGTAGTCGTAGTAGTAGTAGTAGTAGTAGCAGTAGTAGTAGTAGTAGTCGTAGTAGTAGTAGTAGTAGTAGTAGTAATAGTAGGTGTCGTACTAGTAGTAGTTGCTGCAGCAGTAGTCGTAGTTTTAGTAATAGTAACAGCAGTAGCAGCAGTAGTGGTAGTAGTAGTAGTAGTAGTAGTCATAGTGGTACTGGGAGTAGCACTTGTAGTAGAAGTCGTACTAGTAGTGATAGTAGTAGTGCTGGTCGCAGTTGTATAGCGAGTAATCGTACTTTCTATAAAAGTAGTAATTGTAGTAGTCGTACTAGTAGCAGTCGCACTAGTAGTAGTAGTAGTAGTAGTAGTAGTAGTCGTCGTAGTAGTGGTGGTGGTGCTAGTAGTGGCCGTAACACTTCTACCAGTGCTCATCATGGAAAATGGTAGCAGTAGTAACAGATGCAATAGTGGTGGCTGCCGTCCTGCAGGATTCGTGGGAGGAGTAATCATGGACGTCGTGGAAGTCATAATGATGAAATGTTCCCCGATGCTAGAACGACGCAAGCTCCAAGCGGATCTTCCTGGCGTTCCCGATCTTTTCGCTGCGGATTGTTTATGGCTTTCCCTGCGGCCCGACCGCGGCGCACGCACGGTGACATCGCCCAACAAAGCACCACACTCGCAACGTTTGCGCCACACCTCGGGGCCTTGACCCCCGCGGGCCTCCGCAAGTGTGCTGAAGTCTCCAGAAGGCTCTGGAGGCACCCGGAAGCCTACGAAAACCACATTCATTCCTAAACCTCGAACATCTGTCGTCTAGCCTCAGTCAGAGAAGACAACTCCTCCCCCACGCTCTTCCCGAATGGGGCGGGCGGCCTCCCGGCGACGCCCCTGGTGAAGACCCAACCCTCCTGGTTGGCCAGCTTGAGGAAGACCTGGCCCTGGGGTGCGCCAGCGGGGGGACAGGCGCGGTTGTCAGCAAGGCAAGGAAGGCATCGATCGGGACAAGGGACGGGGAAAGGACATCATCCTTATGAGTATACGTATACACACATATATGTTGTATAACTGCAGTTGCATATACATATAGAAAAACGCGTGTGTCTGGCGATCTACGTGCCGCTCGCAATCTGAAGACATCTATATGATGCAGTCGATTTGAAGCAAACTATGTAGTGCACTCCTCGTGATACAAAGTATGCTGGGCAACCTAGGTGGTGCAATATACGATGTGCGGCGTAAGTTCTGCAACTAACTTGGTGTCGTGTACATTGCGCGACATATGAGTTGCACTATACGTGGAGCAATCAATGTGGTGCAATCCCTGTAGTGCAATCAATTTGGCGCAAGATATGCAGCGCGGTGCTATTATATATGTGGTGCAACCTACGTGGTACAACTCATTGTGAAGAGCTTGGCGGTGTTAACGCCACTGCTCGCACAATCATCCCGCCCATCCAGCCGCAACTTCGTTTGCAAAAAAGCATTGCGCGGGCGATTGCGATGACTCGTTGGCGACGGCTGGCGATTCGCGGCCACACTACCGCGCGCAAGCTCGCGCGCGAGAGGCCTGGCTGCATACAATGGTTCGCGTGAAGGGTTCGCAAAAACGTGCGCGCAGATTTGTTTGAAATTACCCTGGCGACGTACCCACCCCCTGCGCAATGCGGGGCATGAGTAGCTTGGGATACGTTATACGGAGGTGATGACGTGACATGGAAGCTTCTACTTCTGCGAGCGGCATTCGTGAGGCACGCAGCCCCCCAAGGATGGCGAAATCCCACTCAGATCTGCGTGGTGCCCCACTCCGCTGGACCCGCCACCAGCCTTCGGAAGTAGCAAAGGTTTCGCAGATCGTAGCCCCCCAAGGACGGCGAGGTCCCGCTCAGACCTGCGCGGTGCCTCATTCCGCTGGACCCGCCAGCAGCCCTGGAAAGTGGTGACGGTTTCGCAGATCGCAACCCCCCCAGGGATTGCGAGGTCTCGCTGAGATTTGCGCGGAGCCTCACTCCGCTGGACCCACCAGCAGCCATCAAAAGTGATAACAATTTCGCAGACCACTACGCTGCCCCCCCCCCCCAAAGCAGCCCACGAACGTGGCGACAGTTTCGCGAATCGCAACCCCCCAAGGGATGACAAGGTCTACCTTGGACCTGCGGCGGCTACCACTATAGCTGCCCCCCCCAGCAGCCCTCGAAAGCGGCAACGGTTTCGCACATCGCAGCCCCCCCCCCCCCCCGGGATGGCGAGGTCTACTTTGGATCTGTGACGGCTACGCACCATGCTGGCCCCCCAAGCAACCATCGAAAGCGGCGACAGTTTCGCAAATCGCAGCCCCCCCCGGGTTTGGCGGGGTCTACTTTGGATTTGCGGCGGTTGCCCACTATGATGGCCCCCCAAGCAGCATCCGAAAGCGGCGACAGTTTCGCAAATCGCAGCCCCCCCCCCCCAGGGATGGCGAGGTCTAATGTCGGTCTGCGGCGGCTGCCAACCACCATGCTGCCCTCCCAAGCAGCCCTCGGACGTTGCGACGGTTTCGCAGATCGCCCCCCCCGCCCCCCGGGATGGCGAGGTCTACTTTGGATCTGCGGCTGCCTATGCTGCCCCCCGCAAGCAGCTTTCGAAAGTGGCGACAGTTTCGCAGACGCCCCCCCCCACCCCCCCCTCCCCCAGGGATGGCGAGGTCTACCTTGGGTCTGCGGCGGCTGCCCACGGCTGTCCCCCCTAGCAGCCCTCGAACGAGGCGCCTGTTTCGAAGATCGCAGATCGCAGCCCCCCCCGCAGGAATGGCGAGGACTAATTTGGGTCTGCGGCGGCTACCCACTATGCTGTCTCCACACGCAACCCTCGAAAGTGGCGACAGCTTCGCAGATCGCAGACCCCCCCAGGGATGGCGAGGTCTAATGTGGGCCTGCGGTGGCTGCCCACTATGCTGTCCCCCCAAGCAGCCCTCGACAGTGGCGAGGGTTTCGCAGATCGCAGCCCCCCCAGGGATGGCGAGGTCTACTTTGGGTCTGCGGCTGCTACCCACTATGCTGTCCGCCTCCAGCAGCCTTCGAACGTGGCGACAGTTTCCCAAATCGCAGCCCCCTGAGGGATGTCGAAGTCTAAGTTGGGTCTGCAGCTGCTGCCCACCATGCTGTCCTCCCCCAGCAGCCATCGAAAATGGCGACGGTTTCGCAGATCGCAGCCCCCCCCCCCCCAGGGATGACGAGGTCTAATTTGGGTCTGCGGCGGCTACCCACTACGCTGCCCCCCCCCCAGCAGCACTCGAACGTGGAGACAGTTTCGAAGACCGCAGCCCCCCCAGGGATGGCGAGGTCTAACTTGGGCCTGCGGCTGCTACCCACTATGCTGCCCCCCCAGCAACCATCGAAAGTAGTGACAGTTTCGCAGATCACAGCCCCCTCCAAGGATGTCGAGGTCTAATTTGGGCCTGCGGCTGATATCCACTATGCTGTCCCCCCCAGCAGCCCTCGAAAGTGGCGACGGCGTCGCAGATCGCAGACCCCCCCCCCCGGGATGGCGAGGTCTCATTTGGATCTGCGGCGGCTACCCACTATGCTGCCACTCTCTCCCACCCCCCCAAACCAGCCCTCGAAAGTGGTGACAGTTTCGCAGATCGCACACCCCCCAGGGATGACGAGGTCTAAGTTGGGCCTGCGGCGGCTGCTCACTATGCTGTTCCCCCAAGCAGCCCTCGACAGTAGTGACAGTTTCGAAGACCGCAGCCTCCCCCCCTCCCACCAGGGATGACGAGGTCTACCTTGGATCTGCGGCGGCTACCCACTATACTGTCCCCCCCCAGCAGCCCTCGAAAGTTGTGACAGTTTCGGGAATCGCAGCCCCTCAGGTGTGGCGAGGTCTAATTTGGATCTGCGGCGGCTACCCACTATACTGTCCCCCCCAGCAGCCCTCAAAAGTTGTGACAGTTTCGGGAATCGCAGCCCCTCAGGTGTGGCGAGGTCTAATTTGGGTCTGCGGCGGCTACCCACTACGCTGTCCCCCCCAGCAGCACTCGAAAGTGGCGACAGTTTCGCAGATCGCAGCCCTCACAGGAATGGCGAGGTCTAATGTGTGTCTGCGGCGGCTACCCACTATGCTGTCCCCCCTAGCAGCCCTCGAGTGGCGCAGGCAAGACGCGCGCGTGCCGAAAACGATACCGTTTGATCAACGAGTGCGCGCGCAAAACATTATTTGGCAGGGGCGAGGGGGGGTGACACCGGCTTGCCTGGGATGGTACGCGTGCGTACTTGAAATGATAGGTGGGGCAGACTCATCTGTCAGTATTACTATCCCCTCCTCCTCCTCCTCCTCGCCAGCGCCACCCCTGGGACGCGGCGTTGCTGCCCCGGCGGAGGAAGAGGTGGGGCGCGTGCGGATCCCAGTCCACGTATTCCAGATGGGATCCATATCCGCCGCCTGTGGAACCGACGTCCTGGAACCCCAGCGGGCGGTGGACATGGAACATGTTGGCCACAGGGGGCCCGAATATATCACCCACCGCCTGCCAAGCCCCCGAATATTGATCCATCAGGCGGTGGTCGTGTATATATTATCATCCGACCGTGCCTCATTTCCCAGGAGGCGCGCTCTGTGGATGATCTCAGATCTCCCATCCATGTGCCTGGTCTCATTGCCCCTGTCCTGTGCCATCGAAGCCAACAAGCTTGTCGTCGTGACTGTTTGTGCTCGCGAAATGGCCCCCGAGGGCTAGACCCCTTCCGCGTGGCCACCTTTTGTCCCGAGGCGTTCCCTGACGGTCCCGAGCACGAAAATTGCAATCCCCAGCCGAAAGCGCAAGGCGGGATACCCAGGGAGCACCGCGCCCCTGGGGACCCAGAGTGCACTGGCACACTTTTGTCAATGGCGGCCGCGGTACGCAGGGTTTCCGAGGCGCGTAGGGAGCCCTGTGGAATCTGACAGCCCCAGCCTGCCAGGTGGGGGTGGGGACAGAACAAGTCCCCCGTGCCCTGGTCGCACCGCAAGGAAGTCTAGGAGCGACGGCGACGGCGACGGCGGCGGACGGCGGCGTCGACGACGACGTCCGCCTCTGCGGGGGCGGCCGGCGGTGGGCGGGCGCGCGCGTGCGGCGGCGACAGCGGCGGCCCCGCAAGCCCTCCCTGAGGCCGAGACTGACCAAAGCCCCTCGGCGAAGGTCAGGACGGCGACGGCGGCGCACGACGACCGCGACACGACGACGACGTCGACGACACGACGACGACGTTCGCCCCTTGGGGGGGTGGCCAGCGGCGGGCAGGGGCGGGGGAGGGGGGTGGCACCGCGAGGCCGGCACGCTCCTCGGAGACCTCGAAGACCTGGGGGGGGGGCCGCGCAGCGGCCGCACGCGCGCCTTGCAGGTGTCGGTGCTCGGCTATGCGCGCACGTGCGCAGACGCGGGGCATTTCGCGGTTGCGGTGGGCACATGAGATGAAGGATTCTGCTCTAAGAGTGGGGCAAACTTCTCGGTCGACCTCTGAAGGTCTTCGGGTGCCCCAGCGCTTCCGTGGGTCCCTGGGGCTATCGGGGAATGGCACGATGACCCCAGCAAAGCAAAAGCGCAGTGAGGGGGCCGAACGGTCATTCATTGTCCCTGGGTGCGTGGCTCAAGTGAAAACTCGTGGTGATTATTATGCCTGCTGCGTAAGTGTTGTTGTTGCCGCTGTTGTTGCTGTTGGTTGTCTTGTTGTTGATGCAGTAGTTGTTGTAGTTGTAGGTGTTGTTGTTGTTGTTGTTGTCGCTGTTGTTGTTGTAGTTGTTGTTGTTGCTGTTGTTGTTGTCGGTATGGTTGTTGTTGGTGTTGTTGTTGTCGTTGTCGTTGTCGTTGTTGTTGGTGTTGGTGCTGTTGTTGTTGGTGGTGTTGTTGTTGGTATTGTTCTTGTTCTGGTTGTTGTTGTTGTTGTTGTTGTTTGCTGTCGTCGTCAAACCCGCGACCAAGCCGCGACCCAACCCGCGACCCACCCCGCGACCCACACCGCGACCCACCCCACGACCCACCCGCGACCCAACAACGTCCCAGCCTTGACCCAAACGCGACCCACCCGCGACCCACCCGCGACCCACCCCGCGACCCACCCGCGACCCACCCCACGACCCATCCGCGACCCACCCGCGACCCACCCGCGACCCAACCCGCGACCCACCCGCGACCCACCCCGCGACCCACCCTCAAGGGAAGAAAAAACACCCGGACCCGACAATTGACGTTCGCTAAACGGCCCTGGGCGTTTACAAAACAACCTTGCCCTGCTCGATTCCTTCCTTGCGTATGTTTGCTAAACGGCTTCGCTTGTCGGGATGATTCTTATGGGGGTGGATCTTCTGCCTTGTACACCCGCGACCCACCCGCACCCACCCGCGACCCAACAGCGACCCACCCGCGACCTACCCACATTGGTTTGACGAAGAAATCGGCGCCTGCGGCGGGATCGTTGCACAAGTTGTGAAACTTGGGCGCCTGCGGCGGGCTTCCCCAGAGTCTCGCAAACTGCCGAGGTCACCTCCGCCCCCTCATTCTTATCCGCATATGCGGGGTGCTACGTAAGAGCGTGGTCTATTTGGCAAAGACCTGTGACCGTCCAGACAAAGTATGTGGCCCGCATTGCAGCGAGAGCACGCGTCCTGCATAACTCGTGAGAAAAACTGAAATGAAACGGCTGCTGGACGGGGCATCCTCCTGTTACGCGTCTCCCCTGAGGGAATGTGCCGTGGTCCTCCCCTCCCTCCCACATCCTGGCCGTCGCCCGAGGGGGGGGTGGCGGAGGAGCGCCATGAAACAAAATTCACGACGGGAACTGTGTCGCATTATGTTGCCTAATTAGGGGGGCCCTTGGCGGGCCCTGGGGCCGTCGGAAAACGCTGGACGCCCGAAATGGGTACGGATAGAATGGGCACGACAGACAGCACCAAATGTTGTCCAAAACCGACAGCGGCTGCTGTTGGGCAGGCGTCCTTCTGTCTCAAATGGACAAGGCCCGCGGGGGCACTGACACCTCTTCCTGTTCAGCATGGGCCTGCTGTCAATCTTGCCGAAACAATGTCGACCGTACCGAAAAAAAAACAACTCAAGATGAAAAGCCAATCCATGGAACGGGTTCATATTCCTGGGGCCTGCGTGGGAAAACAAGTACGACGGCGAGGACGGCTTCCGCGTCCTCTTCCCTTCTCATTCCCCCATCCACCTGCAAACAACACATATTGTTTCAGCCTGGACGCCAGCTCGCAGCAAGGATGCCTGGAGGTGTCACCTCCTGCTCCTTGCCTTGTATCCTTTCTCCCCCGCCTCTTCCGTCTTACTCCTGCTGCTCCTGCGTGTCCTCATCAGCATTATCTGTTTAATGTTGCTACTCGTCGCTGCCATCCTGCTGCCGCCGCCCGTCTCCCATATCTTGCCCATGCCTGTCCCGCTCCTGTTCCTGCCGCTGCTTCTCCTTTTCTGGCTCCCCCGTCTCGCGCCGTTGCTCCTCTTAGCTGCTCCCCCCTCCTTCCTCCTCGCCACTCATTCAACCACCTTCCTCCTGTTTCCCAGCCGACCCTTCTTTCTCACGCTTTTCCTGTGCACGGTCCTGTTGTTCCTCATCTTTTCCCTTTCCATCTCGATCACTGTAGGCATGTGCTGTAGCAGCCAACCCCAAAAGGAAAAAACCGTACCAGGGGAGAGGGACGACAGCAGGGGTCGACCCATGGGGGCAGCGCCCCCCTTACGGGAGACATGGCATTCCCGCCACCACTGAGGTCCGTGGGCGGAACCGTTCCCGCCTGTTCCTGTGGAAGGGGAGTGGCACAGCCTTGCAAGTGCAGCAGTTCGCTTTCCTGCAGAATGTGCGTGGCAAGGCAGGACACGAGAGAGGCGGACCTGCTTCCTTCTCACCCTCTTGTTCCTCCTGCTCCTGCGCGTGCTCCTCCTCCTTCTCGTCCTTGTCCCTTTTCTCCCCTTCCCCCTCCGTAGCCACTTTGGCTCAAGATACCTGCACCTTGGGGGTTCTGCGCCCCCGTGCCTGCACAGGTACCCCTAGCCCGCGTGGCTTGGCGAGTCCCTTCCTCCCTCCGTGCACCCTGGTCCAAATGGCAAAGAATTGGGGCTCGCAGAAGTGGCATTGCAAGTCCGGCTTGCATCCCAAATATGGCAAATCCTTCCTCGATCTTGCGGAGGACGATCACTGTTTCTCCTCTGGCGTCTCGAAATCGTGGCGCTTTGGCGGGCACGTCACGCCAATGGTCCCGTCTGAACGTGTGCCATGGGCCAAGTAGTCGGCATAGGCTCAATGGCCGCTGGGGAGTCCTGATGAGCAGCTGGCCAAGTTCCATGCGCAGATCAGGCGACTGGAGGCGAACTCAAAAAGGCGAAGCTACAGCAGTCCCAAGAGGGGGGCTTCCCCACGTCCTGCGAGGACGGTGACGGTGAGTGCGACCTGGCCTCGAGCAACGACAGCATCGCCGCCATCGACAAGGATCAAGGGACCCCAGGACACACAAATAAATACACACAAATAAAACTATTCTCCATATTTTCCTATATTTTCTGGGTTTTTGTCTTCCCGCTCAATTCCCATATTTTCCCATATTTTCTTGGGAATCGAGGATTAATTGTGTCTGTGTGTTTTTCCTCTCCTTAAAGGAGCTCAGCACCATCGCGATGCTGGAGGGCGGGATCTGGAGCAGAATCGCGGCCGACCTGCGCGCCGAGCGTCCGGACCTCGAGCAGCGCCTGCTGGGGTCGCCACCTGTGGCGTCGCGGCTTCATATCCTTTTTACACAACTGAAGGGGCCCCAGGACACACAAATAAATACCCACAAATAAAAATGTTCCCCATATTTCCAAATATTTCCTGGGTGTTTGTCTTCCCCACCACTTCCCATATTTTCCCATATTTTCCTGGGAGTGGACGATTAATTGTGTCTGTGTGTTTTTTCCCCTCCTGAACAACGTCGACGAGGCTGAGCAGAAGCTCTTCAAGTCCAAGAAGCAGCCGAATGCCCGCCGCAAGCGCGTCGTGGACGCGGAGCAGGCGCTTGAGGAAGCCGAATGCCGCATCACTGAGCAGGAGCAGCTCCTGGCGCGGCTCAAGGCGCAGCAGGCGGCGCTGGCGCCCTGGGGCGCGGTGCTGGCAGCGCCGCTGTCGATGGCATCGGAGGCCACCGTCCTACTGCTGGATTCGGACAAGGTGCGGTGCCTCTTGGAGCAAGGCCATGACGAGCTTGGCGCCCAGGTGCCCGACCTGCGCGGCTTCGCGACCACGCTGTGCGAGCAGGTCCCGCAGTGCTCTCAGCAGGCCCTTGCGCGCCTCGAGCCGTCTGCGGGCCGAGCGGTGACGGGCGGCGCGCCCGCGGTGGTCGAGGCGGCGCCCACTGCGGCCCATACAGGCCGTGGTCCTGACGCGGCGCAGGTGCGCGCCGAGATTGCTGCCGAGGAAGTGCCCCCCTCCTCCTGACGACGAAGAAGTTCGAGTGTTCGGGTGCTCCATGGGCAGCTCCGACTCCGACTCGCATTCGGCCCGCGGAGCGGTAGGCAAGCTTCGTCGGCGTTCTCTCCTTGTTGACGTGGTTGGTCTGCTCCTTGCTGCGTTGCTGTCATGTCTACTACATCCATGCGAGCGTTTGGCTGCGCCTGGAATAGCAAATCGTTGAGTCTACTGTCGAGCCGCGCGACGTGGGACTACCACCGCGTGACTTCAATGGTCACGTTCGGCCTGACCCCTGGGGAACGAAGACTGACAAACCATGAAAACTCTGAGGTCCGCGCGGATTTCTCGGATCCGCGCTGGACCCCCCTGGCAGCGCCTCCAGCGCCGCCCCTGGCGCGCTCCGCGCGCCAGGCATTGGGATCCAGCGCCGACCCGAGAAATCCGCACGGACCTCCGAATTTCTATATTGATGTCATTGTTCGCCCCCCTGGGCCCAAAGCGTTCTCGTGCTGTTTTGGTGAGCGACCTTGGGAATTGGCCGGCGCGCTGCGACTGGAGATTCGATTGCGAGCGTCAGGAGGACGCCAGCTCCTGGCAGGAACGGCGCGAGGAATCACGGCAGTGCTCAATTTGGACGACCGGCGGGAGCTTCGGGAGGCCGTCCCGAGGCAGAATCACCCTGCTGGGGCCCCCCCTGGCCGAGGCGCTTCCTGCCGAAGCGGAGGCGTGCTGCGCGGCTTGGCGTCGAGAAACTCCCCGTCGCCAGCGTCGAGATCCAGTCAGAGCGTCAGGAGGAGGAGTGAAATAGGAGGAGGAGGAGGAGGAGGAGGAGGAGGAGGAGGAGGAGGAGGAGGAGGAGCTCGACAGCCTGGACCGCGCGCGGGCCCCAGCTCCTCCCGCGGGGCGTGCCGCGG